TTGATAAAAAATCTTAGCTCATACTGGACATGTCCTTGTTAGTACAAGTACATTCTATTTTGAAGGCTGATATTTTATACCGACTGCTCCATTTGATTGATTTTTTTTTTTCTTCGATTTCCAGGAAGCTGTTAGGCTGAAGCCATCGTTTGCTGACGCTTACCTTAACCTAGGAAATGTTTACAAGGTAAGCTAATATTTATTGTGCCAATATGACTGCCTAGTGGCAAATGCCATCTGGTTTCTGGATAAAAATAAGATCTTTCTTTGCCTTTTGACAGGCCTTGGGAATGCCTCAAGAGGCTATTATGTGTTATCAGCGTTCTCTTCAGGCGAGACCAGACTATGCAATGGCTTTTGGTACATTTTGTGATCAACTTTATTCTTCATATTCTAGGGTGCATAAGCAATTTGATCTACAAAGGTCATGGTGCCACTTGGCACTACTATATCTTAATCTGGAGGTATTCACCCCCAAAAGATGCAAACACAAAAGAAGAAAAAGGAAAAGAAGAAACCAAAATGAAAAGGAGTAAACTTAAAAATGTTATAAATTGCTTATCCAGATGTTCACTTGGGCTTTAGGATTGCCTGACTTTTACCCCAATGCACCCTGTTTATGGTTGACATCTTTATCCATACATACATACGTACATACATAAAACATGTATGTATGTTTTAATTAATTAAGATTCCCTTTGTAAAAGAAGAATAGCTACATAACTTGGTTCAATGATGCTTAGACTGATGCCATGTTTTAATCATTTAATGTGATGCAGGCAATCTTGCTAGCTTATATTATGAGCAAGGTCAGTTGGATTTGGCAATTCTCCATTACAAGCAAGCCCTCACATGTGATTCTGGATTCCTGGAGGCATACAATAATTTGGTTGGTTTTATTCCCTTACCAGAATACAATATGGATACTGATTTGCTTGATTTTGATAACTGCAATTTTCACTAACAAGCTAAAACTTTGATGGATTTCTTTTGCAACCGAAAGGGTAATGCACTGAAAGATGCTGGCAGAGTTGATGAAGCAACTCATTGCTATCGTGTTGGTTCTTGTTCCCTTTCTTGTGTTTTTTTTTTTCTTTTTTTTTCCGAGTGAGTTTTTTTTTTGGTTTTGGTTTTATGTTCTCTGTTCTTTATTCTGACTATGTTTCTATTATTTTGTGAAGGCATGCCTTTCTCTACAACCTAATCATCCACAAGCTCTTACCAACCTTGGCAACATATATATGGAATTGTATGCATCCTCATTTATCTTATTCTGAATTTTAATGATTATACATGTTTTTGTTGGGGCATCGATTCACAATGAAAATTTTTCCTTCTCCTGGACACACAGGAACATGATGAATGCTGCTGCTCAATGTTACAAGGCAACATTGTCTGTTACAACGGGACTTTCTGCTCCTTACAGCAATTTAGCAATAATATATAAACAACAGGTACTAGTGTCACTTTGGAAGTGTTTTTAACATTAAATGAAAGATATGCCCTTCCCATTGATAAAAAAAAGATATGTCCTTCCCATATAGATTTCAATGTGAAGTGGGTGAATTTAGTTCTACTTTAAGTTCAGTTGAGTGTATGACTGTAGGATAATCTTCTCTTATGGGAAAGATTTCTATTTATCATATTTTGCACATCTACTTGCATATTTCTAACATCGTTAATGTTAATGATTAAAAAGATATTTCTATGGTTCCCTGTTCTTAATAGTCCTTTGTCCTCAACTTCTTGTTTAATTCCTAGTCAGTGATGTAATCGTTTTTCAATCACAGGGAAACTATGTGGATGCTATATCTTGCTACAATGAAGTTCTTCGGATAGATCCTCTAGCTGCTGATGGGCTTGTAAACAGGGGCAACACATACAAGGAGATTGGTAGAGTTAGTGAAGCAATCCAAGATTACATAAGAGCTGTTACCATTCGGCCAACTATGGCTGAAGCGCATGCAAATCTGGCTTCAGCCTATAAGGATAGGTATTTTTTTTCTCTTTCCAGATGTGCCATCTTTCTAAAACTGTAGAAGTATTGTTAATGAACATATTTTTTCATAATTGGAACTTGGGTGGTTTGCAGTGGACATGTGGAAGCAGCTATAAAGAGCTACAAGCAGGCATTACTTCTAAGACCTGATTTTCCAGAAGCTACTTGTAACCTTTTACACACATTGCAGGTACAATCTGRCACATTATGTACATATCGTGGCCTTAATTTTAAGACGATCTCATATTAACCTAATGCAGTTTTTGGAAGTTGGGCATAAGCAATGTTGCTGGAATCGAAACATATGCACTTGGTGGACATGAGAAATTCAAATAAACTTGCATATTGTTGCATTTCTATTAGATGTAAATATGCTGGACAAAATGGCATTTGTAACTAAGGCTCAGTTTGGAAGGAGTACAAATACAAATATGTAGAGTGCAAATACATACAAAATAATACAAATTAAAAGGTTTTGCACTCTACATATTTGTATTTGTACTCCTTCCAAACTGAGCCTTACTGAGCCTAAAGTTCTTAATGATCGAGTCTGGTGACAACGTTGAATTATTATATCGAGTCTTTCTTTTATTAGGTTTTACTTTTGGAGACTGACCTTTATGCTTAATGTTTATTGTTCAATTCTGGCTTGTCAGCTTCCTCTGGACAGTTTTAGTTTTAATGGTCTTAGAGATGGATGAAAGTTGCCTTTTTTTATTTTTTCTTAAGAAAGTGGCAATTATAAGGGTGTATACGTTATACAGAATATAGCAATGGAGCTCCATCCTTCAATAAAAATTAGGGAGTGCTAGATCTATTGCTGTGATAAAAGACTCCTCACACCTCCATGTTTATTCAATGTGTGTCCAAGACCCTACAGTTTCAATAGTTGTATGGTTGACTAGGGTTATGAGATGATAGATGGAAAAGTGATGTAGAGCCCATCTTTTAGGGAGGCCCCTTTTGTAATGGGAAACGATATATGRCTTATTATTTTGAAAGCCTTGGAGACTTCTTGTTTAGAGCTGGTGGATAGGATGATATTGGGAGAGGGTAGAATCAACACTGAATCAATTTTTAACTGGTTGGCCGGTTTGGTTTTTTGGTTTTTATATTTATAATGTATATTATAAATCTATACACACACACACGCATACTGGTTGGTTTGGTTAACCATGGTATTTAATAGGTTAACTGAAACTGAACTAACCGGTTTGGTTCAGGTTACTGGGATCTTCAGTCAATGCATTGGTCATTAGTTCTAATAAATTTTGTTTAATATTTTTGACAACTAGTTCTAAAATATTTTTTTTGAATATGAATCAAATATATGTTTGTTGGAGTGGGAGAAAAAAATGTTGAACCATGTATATTGCATTTTTTGGGTATGCATGGTCACATTTTCAGAGAAGGATGTATCTTTCTTCTATCATGCAGCCGAGTTATGTAAAATATAATCCTGATTTTCTATTGGTTATTTGGTTTTTGGGTGAGACCCACAGATTATTTTCTGGTTGGTACTTGGGCCAACTTTTGGATTTACTGATTGGTTCTTTTGGTTGCCTTTGTATCAAAAGCCAATCTGTTTGATCACTACTTCATATGCTATTGCATACTTCTGTTATATAATTTTCTAGTATAGTATCGATTTCTTTATTTGTAACTGTTAGTTTGTTTCATCAATAACACTTATAGATGCATGACTTTTTGCTCTACCTAACTTTTATAATGGTTAAACAAGTATTTTGGTTGAATTTAGTGTGTTTGTGATTGGGAGGACCGCGAGAAAAAGTTCATTGAAGTGGAAGGGATTATTAGAAGGCAAATAAAGGTTTGCAGCCTGCTGTTTGTTTGATTCCCCATTTCTCCTTTCCTGTTACTTTTCTATATCTGGTTATTTTTTTATTTTATCTCCCTCACTGCATTCATTCTCTGTTCTCAGATGTCTGTTCTTCCAAGTGTACAGCCTTTCCATGCGATTGCATATCCAATTGATCCAATGCTTGCATTGGAAATCAGGTATGATTCCTATCATGGCAGTGATATAGTCAAAAAGGTTTTCAGCTTCTTAATCATAGTTCTTTCTTGTTTTGCAGTCGTAAGTATGCAGCACATTGTTCCCTGATTGCATCTCGTTATGGACTTCCTCCCTTTAGCCATTCCCCTCCAGTACCTATAAAGAGTGATGGTAGAAATGGGCGATTAAGGGTTGGGTAAGTTTTGACATGAGATATGTTGCCTAGACTTTTTCATATACTATATTTTCATTATGTGATGGACTTTACACTGGTCTATCCAGATATGTGAGCAGTGACTTTGGTAACCACCCACTGTCACATCTTATGGGCTCTGTATTTGGCATGCACAATAGAGAAAATGTTGAGGTTTGCTGATAAGACTTTCCCTTTCCAGTCCTGGAGTTTTGATTTGCTTTCTTCTCGAGAAGTCTGTTCTTTCTTTTTGTCATAATTCTGAAATATCTACAATTTGGAACTGCAGGTGTTCTGTTATGCCTTGAGCCAGAATGATGGGACTGAATGGAGGCAACGTATCCAGTCTGAAGCTGAGCACTTTGTTGATGTGTCTGCCATGTCATCTGATATGATTGCAAGGCTGATTAACGAGGATAAAATACATATTCTAGTTAACCTTAATGGTTATACCAAGGTACCTGTTAATCGTTTATGTACCTTTGGTATCTTATTGATGCTTCCCTAGGGTTTTTTTTTTCTGTTGACTTCTTGAGTTGGTCCGAGTGTATGACYCTCCAATGCTCATTCTGCAGGGTGCAAGGAATGAAATCTTTGCAATGCAACCTGCACCTATCCAGGTTTCATACATGGGTTTCCCTGGAACAACAGGTGCAACTTACATAGATTATTTGGTCACAGATGAGGTGGGAACCAGAATTTAGCCTTTTCAGTTTCTTCAGAACATATTGGTCTTTGTTTCTGTATTAATGGACCTGTTTCTTCAATTGCAGTTTGTTTCACCTACCCGTTTTGCACATATTTATTCTGAGAAGCTTGTCCATCTTCCTCATTGTTACTTTGTAAATGATTATAAACAAGTTAGTCTCCCTGGTTCTTGGTATAGATTCTCCATTTCTAATTATTTTGTTTGTTATGCTTTGTGATTTATGTTTCTTGCTATAAATTTTCTCAGAAAAATCGTGATGTTTTGGATCCAATTTGCCGGCACAAGCGGTCAGATTATGGATTACCTGAAGACAAATTCATATTTGCATGCTTCAATCAGCTATACAAAATGGACCCTGAGATCTTTGATACATGGTAACTTCAGTAGGGAGCATATTTACACTAGATTTGTGGCTTTACAGGTGTATGCTTCATCTCATGAGTAACTTTTGCCTTTTACTTACTATTTAGGTGCAACATTTTGAGGCGTGTTCCCAACAGTGCTCTCTGGCTTCTTAGATTCCCAGCTGCAGGCGAGATGAGGCTTCGAGCATGTAAGTCAGTTGGATGTAGTGGTCTTTCAACTAGTGTTGGTGTGAAAATTTTAATAAATTCTTATGCAACATAATTCACTCAATCAAGTGGTTGAGGTTTTATTATTTTGGGTAAGGCCCATTTAGGGAATCATATGGATTGTTTTTGTTTGAAGGGAATCAAGTTGAATATTTGATTGTAGACGATTTTTATCCCTCTGTTCATTTTTGTTTGAAGGGAACCATAATCAGCCCTTAGGAATTAGACTGTAGATGGTTTAATCCCTAACTTGTCTTGATAGAGGGACCAAAATCAACCAAGTAAAAGGACCTGGTTGCAGATGCTTTATTTCCATCTATTTCATTTTTTAAAAGTACAAGTAAAATAGGGAGGATTAAGGATACATGGCAGAAGACATATAGGAAGTATTCACGGAGAGGACTTTACTTTTCTTACCTGTATTAGTGAGATTTCTTTTTCTCCCTGTTTTACCTTGATAACTTCTCTTTCTTCTCTCCTTATCTTGGTTTTTCTTAAGAATCTCTTGAGACAATTTTCTCCGTAGAGGGAAGAGAGTCTCTAGCTTCCCCTTAAGGAGCTTAAATAGGGAGTGGGGTAGTAATGCAACACCTATCCCTCTCACTTAAAGAGAGGGAACTCCCATTCAGGACACCTGTTTTTTAGTTTTGATGATTAGCTAGAAGACTAGCCAACCCACTTATTTGTATTATAAATTATTTAAATATTATTTGGATTTAAGAAAATGCCTTCAACAACTAGTTTATTAATTTTGAAGTATATAAATATTTTAGCTTGTACTTATCAGGAATTGTACCTGCAATTGTTCCCTCCTATGATAATAAATTATCTTATGAAATGGTTTTGGCATGCTTAGATGCCGCTTCCAAGGGGGTTCTGCCAGACCAGATTATCTTCACAGATGTTGCTATGAAAAATGAGCATATCAGACGCAGTGCTTTAGCAGATCTCTTCCTTGACACGTAAGCTTACTCTTCACCTGCATATTTATTTTTTTGTATTATTTGTTTTGTAAATGACTTATATAGAGTAGATAGTGATATTTCTTATTGGGGAAGTATTTGGTTTTGTGATCTTTGTAAGGCATTGGTTTACCATCTATTTGAAAACTGTACTTTTATTCTCTTCATTTGTTTATTTTTTGTTAATTCTATGTAATTTCTCAATCCTTAATAAAATTCATTGATATTGATAAAAAATGTAATTTTTGTTAATTAGACAGATTCATGCAACCACATGAATGATCGTTGTCATTTTTGTTATGGTTAGGCCATTATGCAATGCACACACCACAGGCACAGATGTTCTATGGGCTGGTTTGCCAATTATCACACTACCTCTGGAGAAAATGGCAACTAGGGTTGCTGGTTCACTATGTTTGGCCACTGGAGTTGGGGAAGAGATGATTGTTAGCAGGTGACTTTATAATTATGCTTGTCACATTTTTTTATTTGTAAATCAGTAAGACCTGCTTAGTCTTTATATACTGTTGTGTTTCTGAAGTATGAAAGAATACGAGGATAAGGCAGTATTTTTTGCGGAGAATCGCCCAAAGCTCCAGGCTCTTACAAATAAACTGAAGGCAGTTCGTTTGACTTGCCCATTGTTTGACACAGCACGCTGGGTAAGTGAAAAAAGTCCAGATCTTGCACATTTTACACTATATTGAAAATGGTGTTAACTTCATAGTAATCAGGTTTTGAATAAACAAAATTTCAGGTGAGGAATCTGGAGCGGGCCTACTTTAAGATGTGGAACTTGTATTGCTCGGGTGGACATCCCCAGCCTTTYAAAGTCATCGAGAATGATGCTGAGTTCCCATATGACAAATAGTTAGGAAAGAACAGAAAACGGCACTGTAGATAAAAGCAAAGAGAATATTAAGTTTCAAGTATTCAAACAGTCAAAGATTGTTAGTTGTCAAATGGTGGTGCTGGAAGTATACTATTAGGCGGTAGTGTTGACAGTTGGAAATTGTTGGTTCATGTATTAAACGGTTCAAGGGTTGCCCCGAATTCAGATTGTAATGGTAAGGAGCTGTCTTGGGGAAAATGGAATGAAAAGAAAAGGAATTAAAGAAAATATTTGGCTTGCTCTATTGTTTTTCTGTCTTTATTGTCTTTACATATTAACAAGTGGCCTCTCATAAATCATAATCAACGAAGGATGTCAGAGTTTTTCAACTGTCAAGTTACCGATGGTCTTGCTTGGCATGTTCTGCAAACAGATGGTTTGGATGATCTTGGACAGCGTCTTGGGTACTGATCAATCTGAGCTGGTCAACAAATTACAATTTGTAAATATGCACAATCTCCTGCCATGGGTCAGATATCTAGGACGGGTTGATTACTAGAGCGTAATAGCCAAACGGCCTAATCTTGGTAGGACTGGTACTCTGGATCTTAAATTACAAGAATTTGATAGATGGGTGAAGCCGAGTCCGTGAAATTAACCGGATTAATGGTGGCCCAAGATCTCTTTCACCCTCGTGGCACACTATCATTACAAATTTTCAATGAAGAGTCCAGAACTTCTGCTCTTGTTGAAAATTTCAGGGTAAACSACTGACGAGCTTTATTTGGAAAATTCTCGATAGGTATTTTATACTTCAGGTTCAGGTCGAGTGCCAATTTAGTATCCAAACTTTAAAATGCGATAATCTAGTGTTTAAAATTTTGAAATGCGACAATTTAGTGACCCTCAGTTATGTATATCATGTGATCTTACGTGCCATTTAATATTTTTGAAAATGTCAAAATTATCCTTGAAATAAAACACTGGTCATTATATTATTTCTCACAAAAATAAAATAGATTTCAAATTCTCAACAAACCCAAGAGTCTATTCGCAGCTCGCTATCCTCCAAGAGTCCAAAATAAAGGAAGCGAAAAACCCAAACTTATATCAAAGTCTGGATCTGTTACACCGTATGTAGATGATATGTTCCACTTTGACCTGTCCGATCATGTCCACTAATTCAACTAATTCAGATTAATTCAGCCCCAGCTGTAACTAACTTCCAAGTTTCTGCCCAACCCCTCTCCTCCCACGTGATGTCCATCTTAGCTTACTACTGCTCTCCCTCTCTGCAACTAGGGCTGTTCACGAGTTGGGTTGGGTCAGTTAACTGAGATTTTTCCAACCGACCCAACTTGGTCGGATTACCTGAAATTGAAATCGAAATCGACCCTGTGTTATGCAAAACTGACCTGGTCGGTTTGGGTCGGTTTCGGTTCTAAGTTCAACCATGGTAATAAATTGGCAGATTAGGCGTTAGAGAAGTAGTTAGCAACATCCATCCATCAAG